TGTCCTATGGTGTCCCGTTGAGTGAGAGCGATAGTGAGATCGATAGTGAGGTCGATAATGAGATCGAGAGCCCGCGGTGTCCCGTGGTGGCCCGTGGTGTCCCGTCGTGTCCCGTTGAGTGAGATCGATAGTGAAATCGATAGTGAGATCGACAGGTGTCCCGTGGTGTCCCATGGTGTCCCGTGGTGTCCCATGGTGTCCCGTGGTGTCCCGTGGTGTCCCGTTGAGTGAGATCGATAGTGAGATCGATTGAGTCAGATGTTGGTTTCCCCCCCTCTCCCCCCCACACACACAACCTCCTTATCACCCGAAGGGTGGTCGTATAGGTATACATATATCGGAAATCGGGGGATGAGATCGCAGTGAAACGGAGACCCCCCACCGGGAAATCGGTTTCGGTTTCGTGTTCGTGTCGTGCGTGTGGGCGAAGCGAAACTGCGCCTGATCCTCCTGTAGCTAAGCCGAAGTAGGAGCGAAACTCCGCTTCCGTCCGCCGGTGGCCGGGAGGTGTCCCATTTGGGCCGGGCGGTGTCCTGGGTGTCCCGGGTGTCCCGGGCGTCCCGGCGCTAACGCATGTCGCTAATTTCATAATTCATGTTTTTCGGCGCCTGCAGCGGGCTTTCTTATCCGATCCAGCTTATCTGATCCACTCCATCTTGTCCAATCCAATCCATCTTATCTTATCCAGCCCATCTTGTCCCATCTTATCTTATCCCACCCAATCCAATCCACCCATCCCAATCCATCAATTCATTTGTTTCTGCGCCTGCGGCGGGCCAATCCAATACATCTTATCTTATCCAATACATTTCTGCCAATCCAACCCATCTTATCTTACCAAACCGTCTTATCCCATCCAAATCAATCCACCCAACCCAATCAATCAATTCATTGTTGTCGGCGCCTGCGGCGGGCTTTCTTATCCAATCCAGCTTATCTGATCCAAGCCATCTTGTCCAATCCAATATATCTTATCGTATCCAATCCATCTTGTCCCATCTTACCTTATCCCATCCAACCCAGCCCATCCAACCCAAACCATCCCCGGCGAGAGAGAGAGAGAGGGCGAGAGAGAGAGAGAGACAGACACAGAGAGAGAGAGAGACAGAGAGAAAGAGAGAGGTGAGATCAGGGTGACAGGCTGGAGGTCAGTCAGGGTGGGCATTTGATCTCAATCTCCCCCCCAAACCTCCTTATCGTCCGCAGGGCGGTCGTATAGGTATAAGATGTATGTATACACTTATACGACCACCCTTCGGGCGATGAGGAGGTTGGGGGGAGGAGAGGGGGGAAACCAACATCTGACTCAATCGATCTCTCTATCGATCTCACGCATCGGGACACCACGGGACACCACGGGACAACATGGGACACCACGGGACACTTGTCGATCTCACTATCGATCTCACTATCGATCTCACTATCGATCTCACTCAACGGGACACCACGAGACACCACGCGACACCACGGGACACCACCAGACACCGCGGGCAGACAGACAGACAGACAAGCCATACACCAGGCGGTGCGTGGGCGTGAGCACAGGTGGAAAAATACAGTGCCCTCTTATTCGGTCAACAAGACAGGCCGACAAAGAAACGCGGGCAAGGCAAGAAACCGGGGCCGACGGGAAAGCGAGGAGCCGAGGAGCGAGAGGGGGAGGGGGAGGGGGCGAGGGAGGACGACAGGGAAGGACAGACCGGGCCGACGGACGGACAGACGAGGAGACGGGGAAGGGGAGGGAAACCAAGCGAGGGGACGAAGGGAGAGCACACAAGACACAAGGGCACAGAAACACAAGTGGCAAGGGGGGGGAGGACACGGAGAGGGAGAGGAGGGAGGAGGGACACCTCCCGATCTCACTATCGGTACCACTATCGATCGCACTACCGATCTCACTCAACGGGACACCACGGGACACCACAGGACACCTGTCGATCTCACCATCGATCTCACTATCGATCTCACTCAACGGGACACCACGGGACACCACGGGGCACCTCGGGGCACCAAATCGATCTCAGTATCGATCTCACTATCGATTTCACTATCGATCTCACTCAACGGGACACCACGGGACACCACACGACATCACGGGACACCGGCGGGACACCGCGGGCCGCCTGAGGAGAAACATTTGTTCCGGCCGCGGCCCAGCCACAAGAGGATTTCGGGACACCAGCGGGACACCGGAGGGACACCGCAGGCCACCGGCCGCCGAAGGAGAAACATTTGGTCCAGCCGCGGCCCAGCCACAGGAGGACTTCCTGTCGCCCGCCCGCGCAGCTTCGCCTCGCCCGCACGCACGCACGGCAGGCACGACACGAACCCGAAACCGAGATCGATTTCCCGGTAGGGGGGGTCTCCGTTTCACGTCGGACTCACCCCACAACCTCGATTATAAATATAGGGACACCCTCAGGACAATCATCGGGTTAACCATGGGAAAACCATCAGGACAACCATCGGGACAATCGTCGGGACAGCCATCGGGGCACCCATGAGTATGGCTTCAGTCAGCTCACAGGCGAAAAGGGACCCATGTGGTTTTTGTTGGTCCGGAGGCCTACGGGCCAAAGGCATGCGGCATACATGCAGAAGGCGTACGGTGTCAGCTCGCGGGCAGAACAACTCATGTGTTTCGATGGTCCTGAGGCCCACGGGTGAAAGGAACCCATGTTAAAAAATATGGGTTCAGCTAACGGGCGAGAGGAGCCACGCGGTCCTTGGACAAAACCGTGTGAGCGACGCAAAGACACGAGTCTTACGCGAGATGGCATGGCGACATTACGCCGCCACTTGCGCGGGCCGCAAGCGCGGCACGCTGCAGTGGAGACGAGGGCGCTCACGCGCCATCTTTCGCGGGCAGCATGCGCGCCAATGCCGGCGCAATCGCACCCGTTTTCCTGCGCCGCTCGTGCGTTCACACAATTGTCCCGCTCACGAGCCGTAGGAACCTGTGCTTTCACGGGGACCACAGGCACAACTCTCGGGACAACCAGGGGCGACGGCCAGGACCTGGCGACGCAATTGATCTGACGGAACCCCTACGAACACAAGAACTCGCGCCGCACACGCGTCGCGCACGAACCGAAACAATCTCCCGGTTGGGGCACCTCACGTCTCACGTCAGTCTCACCTCCCCACATCCGATGAATAACTCCTCCTGGTCGCACCACTAGGCCGGCCCGGCCGTGTATCTCAGGACTTACTCACAACTTGTTACCCCAAAGCTTGGAATCCCACCAACCCTTTGGGGCGTAGGTGGTCTAGGACGTTTCCTCTTCCCCGTCTTCCCCTCCAGGGGGGGGGGCGCATCACTTTTCCACATTAAAAGACACCCCCTACCCCACCTGACCAGGGCGAACCCGAACCAGACCTGTCAAACAGCTATACAAAGCGCAAGTTGTGGCAAAACTTGGATCGCATGGGCACCAAGCGATCACGTTGCATGAAATGGACAGGGACGAGGGGGCTGCCAGCATATTGCCTGCTGCGCGCAGGTCTGTCACCCCTGTCAAGAGAAATTATCCTGGCGAAGGACGCAACCATATGCACTTGTGGGCACCGCAATTGTGAATATTTTCTTCGGTGAAGCTCCCTATGGGGCCACGAGTCGCTGCACTGGGTGGGGGGGAACACATGCGGGCGGCAGCACGAGGGGCCTTAGGTGGAGCTCCCTATGGGGCCACGAAACGCTGTACTGGGTGGGTGAAAATGTCAAATTGGGTGTGTGGGACGCATGCGGGCGGTCCCACTGGTGGCGTTGGTCGAGCTCCTCATGGGGCTACGAAGCGCTGTACTGGGTGGGTGAAAATGCCAAATTTGACTTCCTGGACGCATGCGGACGGTCCCACTGGGGCTTCGGTGGAGCTCCCAATGGGGCCACGAAACGCTATACTGGGTGGGTGAAAATGCAAAATGGGGTGTGCGGGACGCACGTGGACGGTCCCAGTGGGGCTTCGGTGGAGCTTCCTGTGGGGCCACGAAACGCTATGGGCCCACGAAACGCCGTACTGGGTGTGGCGAACGCATATGGTATACCCCACTGCGGCCTTAGGTGGAGCTCCGCAAGGGGCCACGAAACGCCGTACTGGGTGTGGCGGACGCATGTGGTACACCCACTGGGGGGCGGGCACGGGAGGAGGAGACGCGGGGACCGTTTCTTCAAAACGAGGACCCAACACCACAGGATGGTTGGGAACAATACTAAACACACTTTCCCGCAACGGTCATGCGAGGTGCATTGCAGCTTCTTTGTTGCATCCTGGGTTTACTCTGGTCCTCGAACTTTTCGTCCTCCTCCCCTCGTCATCAGCACCAGCATAACCAGCACCAGCACCAACACTAGCTAGCACCAGCACCACCATCGCCAGTATCACAATCATCATGACCATCCTCCTTGTCCTCCTTCTGCTCCTCTAGGTTCTTTCGCAACCCTAGAGCGCGCAGCGCTGGGCCGACATTATCAGAGTAATGCTAGGTTCACAAACAAGGATGCACAGTCTGACATCAGTTCGTCGTGATTCACCTGTGGTGTCAGACTTGGAACCAGCTGTGCAAATACGACAAGGCAGCATCCAGAGCGATGGTTTCTGCCGTAAGTGCAGCCACTGGCGTATCTTGACAAAAACGCACCGCTACAATAAACGAAAAACATTCAGGCCATGTCACCTGCTCCTCCTCCTCCTCCTCCTCCTCCTCCTCCTCCTCCTCCTCCTCCTCCTCCTCCTCCTCCTCCTCCATCATCATCATCATCATCATCATCATCATCATCATCATCATCATCATCATCATCATCATCATCATCATCACTCCTCCTCTTCCCCCCCCGGTGGTCCTCGCTGGGCCAGACGCGGGCGGCGTCGAGCCCGCCCGGGCAGGGTTCGCCAGCGGCGGCGGCGGCCCAGGGTGCGCGGGGTCCGAGGCCGGCAGCGCGGGCCCCGCGCGCGCGGCGCTCCGCGGCGGCGGGGGCGGACCAGACTGGATGGGGTCCAGCGCGGGGGGTGGTGCGCCCGTGCGGCCGAGCCCTGCGGTCGGCGTGGCCGATCCACACCGTGCGGGGGCGCGCGGAGGCGGCGGCGAGCCGGGCATAAGGGGGTCGGGCGCGGGCAGCTGAGGCCCCGCCTGCATGCGGCCAAAGGCTGGCGGCTGCGGCCCCAGGAGGCCAGGGCTGCGCGGCGGCGGCGGGGGCCCGAGGGCCGCGCGGTCGGAGGCTGGCGGCGGCGGCCCCAGCCTCGACGGGCCCCACGCCGGCGGCGGCGGCCCAGAGCGGGCGTGGCTCCGAGCGGGCGGCGGTGGCCCAGCCTCTGTGGGGTCGGATGCTGGCGCTGCAGGGCCTACGCGCGCGGGGCTGCGAAGCGGCGGCGGCGGGCCAGGGGTCGTGTGGTCGGACGCCAGCGGCGGCGGGCCCAGCCTGGCGAGGCCGGAGACCACGATGGCAGAGCCTGAGCGGGCGAAGCTCTGTGCGGGCGTGCAGCTGCCCGTGCGCGCCAGGCCGGAGGCGGGAGAGGCGGGGCCTGCGCGCGCGAGGCTGCGGATCAGCGGAGTCGGGCCGGAGATGGACGCGTCTGAGGCCAGCGGTGGCGGCCCGGGCCGCGATGCGCCGAAGGCAGGAGACGCTGCGCCTGGTTGCCCGCAGCTGCGCGTGGACAGGGGCGAGCCTAGGTATAAAGAGTCCAGGGCCGGCAGCGTAGATCCGAGCCTGGCGAGGGCGCGTGGCGGCGGCGCTGGCCCAGGCTCCGTGGGGTCGGGCGCCAAAGGAGGGGCGCCGGCGCGCGCCGGTCCGGAAGCAGGCGTGGCGGACCCGGAGCTGCCCATCGATCTCGACGGCGGCGGCGAGCCCGAGCTCGCGGTGTCGAGGGCTGGCGAGCATGGCCCGGGCCGCACCTCGCTGGAGGCCGGCGGCGAGGGGCCCGGGCGCCCAGAGCCGCGTGGCAGCGGCAGCGGGCCCGGCTCTATCGCGTCCAGCGCCAGGGTGGGCGAACCAGAGCGGGCCAGGTCGGAGGACGGGGAGGCAGCGCCTGGGCGCGCGGAGGACCTCGAGGACGGCGAGGGGCCGAGGCCGGCCGCGTCGGGCGCGGGGAACGGCGGCCCAGGCCGCGCTGGGCCGGACGCAGGCGACGGCGAGCCCGTCGTCGAGTGGCTCCTGAGGGGCGGCGTCGGCCCTGGGTGCAGGGGGTCGGACGTGGGCGCGGGCGGGCCGGGGCGTCCCATGCCGGACGCGGGCGGGCAGGGCCCGAAGCGGCCGGCGGCTCGCGCAGGCGGGGTGGGCCCCGACTCTGCCGCGTCAGGCGCAGGCGGTGCCGGGCCGGGCCGCAGGGCGCCGGAGGGCGAGGGCGCCGGGCCAGGGCGGCCGTGGCTGCGCGTCGGCGGCGGGGGGCCCAGGGTCATGAAGTCGAAGACGGGCATGCCGCACTCGGCGCCCTGCTTGATGCAGCCGCTGGCCGGCAGGGGCGGCCCAGAACGGGCGAGGCCTTGTGGCGGCGGTGGCGAGCCAGGGTGCACCTTGGCGCGCGGGGAGGAGCGGGCGCTTTCCGCGCCGCGCGGCGCAAACCTCCGATCCTGCGCAGCCCCCAGGGAGGGCCACGGGGCGCCTGGACGGTGCGGGAGGTGATCCTGGCATATGGCGCCAGCCTGGAGCCTCCCCAGACTCCGCGCGTCATGCTCTTGTTTCTCGACACCCCTTCCCCGGGACAAGGTTTCCGTCCAGAGTCGATTTGTTGACGGCCCGGAGGCCCAGCCAGGGCCCCCGGAGGCCGAAAACGGCCAAAAAACCTCCCGACATGATTCGTTCATGACCCAAGGGAGTCTGGGCGTGGGGACCTCCCGGCCTTGCGGAGGGGGGCGCTCTGGAGACCATCCAGGAATCCATGGGCAAGCTGGGGTCACTTTGGGCCAGAGTCACCTCTGACAACGCCCAAACAATGAGGAGCGCGCGAGGGGAGCTCTATGCTCTCACAGGCCGCAGCAGGGCTGGGACGGAAAGGGGAAGCGGACGGAGGAGGTCAGCAAGGGGAGCGAGGAGCGAGGAGCGAGGAAGGGAGCGAGTAGCGAGAATCGAGGAGCGAGGAGGGAGGGAGGAGGGGAGGGAGCGAAGGGGAGGGGAGGGGAGGTGAAGGGAGGAGGGAGGAGGGAGGGAGGGGAGGGAGGGAGGGAGGAGCGAAGAGGGATGATGGCAGAGCGAGAGAGCGAGGGAGGAAGGAGGAAGGAAGAGGGACAAGGGAGGAAGGAAGACGGAGGGAGCGTGGGAGGGCGGAAGAGCCTCCTCTTCCTCCTCCTCCTCCTCCTCCTCCTCCCTCCTCCTCAGGTTCCTCCTCCTCCTCCTCCTTTTTCCTTCGCCTCCTCCTTCTCCTCCTCCTCCTCCTCCCTCCTCCTCCTCAGGTTCCTCCTCCTCCTCCTTTTTCCTTCGCCTCCTCCTCCTCCTCCTTCTCACCCCTTATGCAGTGACCACCACCACCACCTCCTCCTCCTCCTCCTCCTCCTCCTCTTCCTCCTTCTCCTCCTCCTCCTGCTCCTCCTCCTCCTCCTCCTCTTCCTCCTCGTAATCCTCATCGTATTCCTCACCAGTATCCTTATCGTGCTCCACCATCTCCTCCTCCTCCTCCTCCTCCTCCTCATCATCAACATCATCATCATCATCATCATCATCATCATCATCATCATCATCATCATCATCATCATCATCATCATCATCATCATCATCATCATCATCATCATCATCATCATCATCATCATCATCATCATCATCATCATCATCATCATCATCATCATCATCATCATCATCATCATCATCATCATCATCATCATCATCATCATCATCATCATCTCATCATCATCATCATCATCATCATCATCATCATCATCATCATCATCATCATCATCATCATCATCATCATCATCATCATCATCATCATCATCATCATCATCATCATCATCATCATCATCATCATCATCATCATCATCATCATCATCATCATCATCATCATCATCATCATCATCATCATCATCATCATCATCATCATCATCATCATCATCATCATCATCATCATCATCATCATCATCATCATCATCATCATCATCATCATCATCATCATCATCATCATCATCATCATCATCATCATCATCATCATCATCATCATCATCATCATCATCATCATCATCATCATCATCATCATCATCATCATCATCATCATCATCATCATCATCATCATTATCAGCATCAGCAGCATCATCAGCATCATCATCATCATCAGCAGTAGCAACAGCAACAGCATCATCATCATCATCATGATCATCATCATCAGCAACAACATCAGCATCAGCATCACCATCATCAGCATCACAATCAGATTCAGCATCAGAATCAGCATCGTCATCTGCAGCATCAGCATGATCATTATCAGCATCATCAGCATCAGCAGCATCATCATCAACATCATCATTATCAACAGCATCAATAGAATCTTCATCAGCATCATCATCACCGCCACCATCATCATTATCACCATCATCACCATCAACCTCATCAGCATCATCATCCTCATCATCATCATTGTCAGAAGCATCGCAATCATCATCGTCATCAGCATCAGCATCAGCATCAGCATCATCAGCATCATCAGCACGATTTCGCATCATCAGCGTCATCAGCATCATCAGCATCAGCATCATCATCGGCAGCATCATCAGCATCACAATCAGCATCATCATCATCATCATCATCATCAGCAGCAGCATCAACACAGTTATCATCATCATCAACATCATCGTCAGCATCATCATCACCGTCAGCATCAGCATCACCATCGTCATCGTCATCATGAACATCATCAGCATCAGCGTCAGCATCATCATCCGCAGCATCAACAGCCTCATCATCACCATCATCATCATCAGCATCATCATCATGATCATCAACATCATCATCCTCTGCGACTCCGTGACTCATGAAGCAAATCTCCTCCTCCTCCTTCTCTTCCTCCTCCTCCTCCTCCTCTCCGGCCTCCTCCTCCTTTTCCTCCTCCTCCTTCTCCTCCTCCTTCTCCTTCTCCTCCTCTTCCTCCGCCTCTTCCTCCGCCTCTTCCTCCTTCTCCTCCTTCTCCTCCTCCTGCTCCTCCTGCTGCTCATCCTCCATCGCCTCCTCCTCTCTCCGCCCCCGCCCCATGTCCCGAGCCTTTGGCAGGGCCATCAGTTCGCCGTCGTCGTCGTCGTCGTCGTGGTCGTGGTCGCCGTCGTCGTCGTCGGCGTCGTCGTCGTGGTCGTCATCGTCCTCGTCGTCGCCGTCGTCGTGATCGTGGTCGTGGTCGTCGCCGTCGTCGTCGTCGCCGTCGTCGTCGTCGTCGTCCTTCAGGGTCGGCGGCACAGGCCGTAAGGCCTTCACAAATAGATGAAGCTCCTTCCTACTACATCCTACCTCGTTCCTCCTCCTCCTCCTTCTCCTCCTCCTCCCCCTCCCTCTCCCCTTCCTCCATCATCCTCGTCCTTCGTTCACCCCCCTTTTTTCAAATCCCCCATACTGCGTCCCCGTCCTGTGCCTATTAGTGTGTTTAGTTCGGGCACCCGCTTGCACCACAGTGCGTGTGCATGGCCAACGACGGCGACGGAGAGGGAGGGGAAACAAGAGGGGTAGGCACGCAAAGGTCGGAAAGCACGGTAGGAGGACGCATCCTTCACGCGTCTTCTATCCGTCCTCGTTACGTCCAGCTCCTCCTTCATTCCTTCCTCCCTCCCGTCCGTCCTTCATGCGGTCCTCTTCCTCCGTCCCTCCACCTCCTCTTTCTCCTCCTCCTCCTCCACCTCCTCTTCCGCCATTTGACCATCCCCATGTTCCTTGTCCTGCTCGTGGTGTTAGTCATGCTCCATCTCCTCTACGTCATATCCGTATCAGCATACTCGTCATCGCTGTTCGTCGTCGCAGATATCGTCATCATCATGAGCATGACGATCACCACCCGCATTATGATGGCTGTTATCCTCATCCTCATCATCCTGCTTATCACTCCTCACTCCTGCCTCATCCTCATTGTCATCCGCATCCTCTTCACCCCCATTCTCCTACTCTGCGACGAAGTACGAAACCCACTCCAGCTGCCCATCGGTTTGAGCCAATCCAACTTCAGCAGTGGGGCTCTTTTTCGCCCGCGCCCACTCGTTAGTGCTGACCCCCCCGAGTAGTTGACGCAGCAGGGGTACCAGACAGCAAAGTCTTGAATCCATCAGCTCGAAACATTTCCCACGTTTTCGGCGTCCAGTGGCCCGTCTGTGGCCCCAGGGCCATGCAGATGATGAATCGGTCGCTAGGAAGGGGTCCAAAGGCCAGGGCGGGCAAGCTCTGAAACAATCACGGCGGCGGATGCCCGGTGCAGGGTTCCGTCTTGCACCGCCAGGGAACGTCCACATACACAGCTGCTGGAGTCCTGGCTCGATCCATGGGGACTGGCGGCCATGGATACAATCAAAACGTGTAGTAAGGAGGGATGGTAAGGACGCAAGACCCTTGAAGGCCGAAGTTGGGAGTTTTGGATCGGCTGGCGACCAATGCCAACGACAAAGGACGGGCCGCAGAGGCAAGGACACAAGGGCACCCTGGATGAAGGCGCGCGCCCTTACTAGGCGCGTGAACTGTACCCTCCCGCCCTCAGCGGCCGGCAGAGGTCTTCGTCGACGAGTCCTCGAGAGGTCATCGAGACAGTTCGGGGCACGGCTCCGAGGACGGTGGGTGTGGACATCTTCTGGCAGCGGACGTCCTGCTGCACGGTTTCCCCCGGGGCCGTAGGCGACCCGAGGAGGAGGAGGAGAAGGAGGAGGTGGAGGAGGGGGAGGGGGAGGGGGAGGAGTGGGAGGAGGAGGGAGGAGGAGGAGGAGGACGGGTCGCCTAAGCCCTTCGGAGTAGCCCTCCACGTCCTGCCCCTGCCTCGTGTGGAGTTTTAGGCCGAGCACCATGTCGAAGGCCGACGGGCCCGCACCGAGGCGGGCGAGGCCGGACGGCAGCGGCGTGGGGCCCGTGCGGCCCGTCGACCTGCGAGGCGGCGGCGAGGGGAGGCATAGGGGTCACCAGCTACCCGAGAGGACAGGACAGGAGGAGGAAAAGGAGGAGGAGGGGGAGGAGGAGGGGGAAGAGGAGGAGGAGGAGGAGGAGGAGGAGGAGGAGGAGGAGGAGGAGGGAGGGGGAGGAGGAGGGGA